TAATGCTACTCCCAAAACACCCATGAACATCAAAAATGCCAACTCTTGCAGAACAGTGTTGTTAAATCTGCTCTGTTTAAAACTACCACTTCATCATAACAGAAAGCAAAATACATGCAATGCTTCATTCCTGAATGGCAGAAGGTACAAACAGAATCCATGACAAGAGTCTGAAATGTCTGGATTTTAACAAGCCTGTGAAGTGCTTTTTAGCTGAATGGTGATTAATTGGCCAAATGACAAAATGATCAGGAAACAAGTCCTGCAAATATCTTTAAGTTTGTAACAGGTAACCACATTTTTTTGGCTTGTTTAATGCACACTGAATGCAGAGACATTTGGCAGGACACTCACGCCTCTAGAGGACGTCCCATTTAAAAAAACCTGACAATTAGGACAAAGTCCACAGAATACATAATTATTGTATTGAATATATATTTATTTATTATAGATTGTATTAATTATGAATAATATTTACATTTATATATTTATTAAATGTATATATCTATTTATTATAAACATTGTATGCAGCTTATGTGGTGTTCCTCTATCAGCAGAAGAACTAGATCAGCAACATAATTACATCCGGTAATATTCAGAAGTCTTATATTATATGTTGGGGCATTTTTATTTTAAAGTCTCTTGTACTTTATAGAAGTGTATTCACACAACTCCTCCAAGCATCAGGTTACTCACAGATTCAGGAGTAAGCAGCCTACTCTTACAACTGAAAAAGGTCTAAACACTTAGTAGTGGCTACTAGTAGCTTGAGAAGCATTGGAGCACCTGCTATCACAAATGTAAATGGAAAGGGGGAATTGCATCCATCCACTTTCCCTGTATCACCCATATGTGTAATTATTAGCTTTCACACACATTAGGGCAAAAGTAATTTTATTTCTAAATTCAACTCAATTTGCTCTGACAGACTTCTCCCAATTCACCAGCACGTTGGCCAGAAATCCACCCCAAAGCTACATATGATGCATTATTTTAGATCTTCTCTTCTAAAATCCTTTATTTTTGTTCCCCCCCAGAGGAATCTCAAACTTGTGAATTTACTTCTGTCACAAGACTGCAATTTTCAATTATTGGCACTTGTTGCTGCTGAAACAGATCAAAATAAAAAAGGCTTCATCACTTTGGCAAATCTTACTATAAGCACAGTCTTCTGCCCCAAATAATTTAAAAATCAGATAAAGAAAAAAAAAACCCAAACAACCAAAAAACATCCCAAAGAAACAAACCAACTAACCCCAGAAGAAAGGCGTAACAGGTACTTAAAGAACAAGAGATCTACATTAGAAGTGATAAAAAGTTCATACATGTTGGATCTTGTGCCTGAATTCACATGTTTCAGAAGACTCTGTGGTTCTTGAACAATCTGCACAGGGACATCCAGGCTACCTCTGGCAGGCCCACAACCCAGCCAGCATCTGGGAGCTCCTTCATTCCATTTGCTGAGAGTTATGAGAAGAGAGTGCTAGCACTACACTGCTTTCTGTCAGGTGGAGTTTTTTTACACAAGATGTTTCCATAGCTTCTCCAAAGGGAATGCATTAGAAAAAGAACTTTGTTAGGCACCAGGGAAACTTTTGCCACATTTGTCCCAGAGATGGTACCAGGGCTGGAAAGATGGGCATGCCCCCTGCACCAAGAGTTCTCACAGGAGGTGGAAAAAAGCTTGTGCAGTGCAATTAGGAAGGAAGAATCCACTGAAAATAATAATACTTTTTCTTTTTTCCTCCTTAAAAATAAAAAATAACTTTTACAGCTTTGAAAAGGAGATACACCAAGTCCTCAGTGAAAAGTTGTTCAGTTAACTGCAGAGCTGTTTGTCTTTCTATTGCAGTTTGAGCACAGCCCTGGCACATGCCACCCTTCCTTCCTTTTGTCCACTCCACAGCCTTGCCACTGCATAAAGAGCACTCCCATGACCCAGTTTACTGCATTTAGAATTTTCCCACACTTCAAACCTTGCAAAGAATTTGGAGGACTGGATCCAAGAAGAAATCAAAGAGCTCTCAAAGCTGCCCTTCTCCACAGAGCTTGCTGTGTCAATGCTGATCTACTATTTAGGAACAGCTCCTGGACAATCTAATGTTACCTGAAGGTGACCGCTCAGTTTCATCAGTGAACTGCTCACTCCAGGGAGGTGCTGGGCAAGATCAGGCATAACACATTTGCTAGAGTGATGCAAACTGTCTTTTCCCTGGACTGAGCTAAGAGGAGAGTCACGACCAGCACAGCTAGAGACATCAAGTTTCAGTAAGAAAACTGCTCAGCAAATCCAAAGCGCTGTAAGTGGTGGCAAGAAACGGGTCATTTCAGCCAAATTCCTTTCTTTGTACAAATGGGCACTGTACCTTTGTTATCAGAATTGCACACTAAAGCGTAAATTTACACTTCATGAGCTATTTTAAAATCCACCCTGCTTAATAATCTATATCAGCAAGAAAACACTTTAAAGTGTCTCTCACAATTAAACCCAGGCACAACCTTATATAAATCAAAATTTTGCTACCATATCAAAACGTTACACTGGGGCTGTATAACATTGCCCATATCCTCATTACATGCTACACTAATTACTACCAGCAGATTCAGAATTTTCTGCACATTAGAGGCTTTTAGAGGAGCTATAAAAAATTTCAGGCATCATTAATTTAAATTTGTATTGAAATTTCCTTTTGACAGATGGCCAAAAATTACTTACTATTTAGAGTACCAGAGTCTGCCTGTTTGCACATTGGAAGAGGAAAGGGAAAAATTAAAAGGAAGAAGGAAATTTATGTCACGTTCATTACCTGTTAAATGTTAAGGAGCATTATCCTGCATGAATAAATTATTTCATACAAGCACACAGACTCCAGCTGGTTCTGGCTGACAAAAACTGTCTCAAGTCACACAGCAGACAATCATAAAAAGCCTCTCTTAACCAGGAACCACTTAAGGGAGGAGGGATCGATTGAACAAGCGACTAACTGCTACTCTGGGCATCACTGAAAACATTTAAGGAAATTAGCAAACTATTTCACCTTGCAAAGCTGGCAGTAAGCCCCATAAAGCTGACACACAAGCCAATTCACAATCTGAGTACCATGCAAGACAAACATCTACTTATCATTTCAAAGTAAACTGCATGAAGTAGATGCCCTTCTTTCCTTCTGGAAGCTGTATGAGTATCAGCACTTTTGAATCAATCCCAGACAAAATTGGCCTTTTCAGTACAAATGCTCCACCTAACATCCATGCCGGCATAAACACCCCAACGCCTCACAAGTGTTACAGAAACATGACTAGTATGTATCATTTAGAAACAGTGAATGACATATATTAGCAGTTCTCCTCAGTCACTTTCTTGAATGAAATCATCATGGTTCCAATTGTACAGGTAAGCAAACTCACTCAAGAAACCACATGGGTTGTGCTCTCACAGTTAGGTGTCTGCATTTGTTAGAGTGCAGGAAAAAGGAAAATGGACTAAACTTAAGTGTTCACAGTTAAGAGTGGGTATTCTAGGGAAATGGTCATTAATGTGTGCTCCCGCCTTGTCACATAAAGCAGTAATAGCAGTTTCCAGCCCTCATGACAAAGAGGCTGAAGTGAAATCCAACATGCTGTTGTCTTATGTTGGCAGATAGACAGCTTCAGTGCCTTTGCTGCTCACAGTGAAAACTGTCAGTTCCTGTCAGCTCCTGGTTGTTATGCAGAGCCATGTGTATAACAGCAAAACTGACAACTATTGGCTCAGTTGCGCTTGGCTGGGGCATGTCAGGAGTGCCAGTGGCAGAATGGGTGTGCTGGGATAGGCTGCAGGACACGTCCCCACCTGTAGATGCCAAGGAACAAAGGTGTCAGTCCTCAAGTCAGCCCTGGATGGACAAGTCTCTGGTGGGGTCAAAGCCTGTGCCCAGAACCATATCAAGGTTCTCCCAGAACCATCAAGGTTTTCCCAACACCATCAAGGGCACACCAGTAGTATCTCCCTGACAAGATCTTGCTGATCTTGTCTAATGCACGTCAGACTCTCGCTGTGAATATCTCTTCCATCACTTCTCAAACCCCAAAAATACATCTTCCAGAAAAAAGCACCACTAGAAACTTGACAAACTCTTTCTAAGTGCTCAATAAGGTTGGTGTAGGTCTTGCCATTTATAAGAGAAGCGAATCTTCCTTTTCATACTCAGCAGCACCTAATAAAGCTTGATCTCGTGTTTCTGAAAACCATGCAAACTAGGAGAGCAGACCCATCAAGGAAGATGGGCTAACATACATCTCTCCAACTGCAGCATTAAAACCCCAGGAGTCCTTGAGAAGCACTGGTGGCTATCAGTATGTCACTGAACCCTACTTGTATCTACTACTGAATGCTCAAAATTAGACAAGTGGCAAGGTATGTTATTACATCTACTTATGAACACCACTCTACACAGGATACAGGCATGCTGCAGAGTCACTTGGAACCTGAAAACTGATTTTTGGAAAAGAAAGGCAGAATCCTCGGTGCAAGCTTCAGTACCACGTTCATCAGGGTAGAGGGAAGGGCAGCTCACTCCTTTCCAACTACAGGGCAGTAGTCAGCACCTCACGTCTCCCCCTGTGAGCAACAGAGCTCTCCTTCCTCAACTGCATTATAAGGAAATATCAGAATTACAATTTACAGCCTCCAAATTAATTAAGACTACAGGCTTATTCTTTCTGTCTCAAAAGCCTGGACACAGACCTCGGGCAGACCTTTCTTTCCATCCAAGAACAGCCCCAATGCTGTTCCAGTAAACTCACTGGTCGACCTGTTGCTTGCAATCCTAGCTGCCCCACTACCAGCCATAGCCTGAATGTGACACACAGGCTAGGCAAGGTGCTGCCAGCCAGCACAAGCATCACAACCCAGTTTCATTCTGTGAGTTCTTCCACCACTCCGTGCCGCACTTCAGAAAAATGCAGCGTTCACGCAGCTCTGCTGAGCTACCCTTTACACCTACGGAATGGAATCCTACCTTGATGGAGTCTCTGTCTGCATGCAGAGCAGCCCCCGTGCGTAAGGAGGGGGAGATATGGTGGCAGGGGATGGGCATGTGGGGGAAGAGAGAAGGAGAAAAGTACTAGTTAGTTTACATAAAATTATACATTTATCATACTCTGAAGAAAGAATCCTGATGTCTGTTAAATAATAAATTGCACAGATGTTAACTTTTCTGTACAGTTAATTATTAATGCTGTACAGCCAGATTTATAAAACTGGATTTCTAGCATTTGAACACAATTTCTGGCTACTGCTAGATAATAAACACTAAAGTAATTAGCTAGGAACTCTTCTGAAAATTCCTCCCCTCTCCCTCCCCTTTGCTTGCTTTAAACAGGATAATTTAAAAAAGAAAAGAAGGGAAACAAAACCACACACTCCTCTGGCAGCGCCTACCTCTTTGGTGATCGTTATCATGGTGCTTCTTCTCGTCTTTAATTGGGAGGTGGGACTGCCCCCCCAGTGCACTGGAGAGTGCCAGGAGACCAGCACTGCTGCCAATGGGTGGGATGGCTGGAGGCTGCAAGCCTGAGGGGTGCGGAGTGAGCGGCACGGGAAGACCATGTCCATGTGACAAGTGCTGGGCCTGGAGTTGTTGCTGCTGTGAAAAACAGAACACAGATATTGAATTTGTTCAGGGAGCTGGGGATTGTCTGATTGATCACCTGCATCAGCTGTGACTGATCAGACCAATCAATGCATCTGATCAATTCAAGATATCAATGCTCACAAACATCCTGGTGCCTTAATAATGTCTAGATGTTTGGACACAACATATTTGGTAAAACTCAGACCGAACTGGAAAACAACAATGACAAAAATGAAAAAATAAAAAGAAGAGAGCAAATGAATGTTACCATTTTGGTGAATTGTTTATTTTTTTGGCAGAGGTATTATGCTTTTCTCTTCCTAGTAGAAAAACATCATGTACACACCTAATCAAAACATATGTAACTGTAAAAGCAGTTATATAATGAAAAAAAAGCTGAAAATTGAGAAAATTAGTGTTAAACAGTTCTCCCAGAGCTACTGCACAGCATGCAGTGAAAGTTAATTTGAAAGAGAAAACCTGAATTAACAATCCAGAAAAGGAAACTGGTTGCAGCCACCGTTTTAAGCCCTTTAAGTGTCCTCAGCGGTACTTGAGCAAATTACTAAAGAAAATCTAATGTAGCAAGGCTTGGGTCCTCCTGTAGGCTTGCTCAATAATGCTGAAATAATTGGGCACTCTGTGCACGTTTAGTGATGCTCGAATGAAAAGCTAGAGGCCTGCCCTTGTACTCTTCTCTAGCTGCTGACTCTGTGTTGTGACAGGTTTATTTGAGTGGGACTGTGATGCATGCACCAGTAACTGCACTGACAAGAGTTTAAAGTCATTTTTACCAGTACACTGGCAACACACAGAGAAAGCCCTTGAGAGGTTTGAATTGGAGTGCTTGACCTCAACCAGGGCTGCATCAAGCTCTGTGCTATATTAACCACTGTGGTGTAGATAGACTATTGCTATTTGTTAGGAAGGCAGAGGAAAAAAACCCTGAAGAATCAACAACAAAAAGCAAACAGGTGAAAAAGTTTAGTTAAATACATCCCAAGAGAGATCTCTTCAGGTCTAAGGCTTACATACTAGCCATCCAACTAACTTCTGCTCATAGAATAACCAGATTACCTCTGAAATTTTCATTCTCAAGCAGCTATTGCTCAGGGTAAGTCATATCTCTAAGTCCTCTAGGATTGTTCTCTCCCACCTGCACATCTGCACACAGGACTTTAGAAGAAATAAAAACTTAACTTGCTTCACATAAAAACATTCCATTTTAAACTTCTAAGACTTGAGACCTGACTTATGTAAGGGTGAGCTGAAAGGAAAAGGCTGCAAGTCACAGCACACTAGATAACCCTTGCAGCACACTGCACACATACCTCCCTTGACATCCCACCCCGAAAGTACATATCCTGCTCTTCTGCTTGGAAATAAACCTCATGCAGTGGAATCAGACTGGCAGTGGCATGAACACATCATCTAATCCAGATCAGTGACAGAGCAAGGAGGGCAATAATCTACAAGAAAGCTGTGGGGGAATAAAAATACATAAGAGGGTGGGGAGCAGCCACCAAAATCAAAACCAACCAGACAAAACCCCAGAAAGAACATTGTTCCAAGTAGAAGAAGGAAAGGCCAAGTCTTTTTCCTGCTTGTGAGCCCATATCATTCCAGCAGGTGTTCCTTCTTGTAGAACGTATCAAAGACATTTGGCTTGCATGATGCTCTCACGGCAGTATGCTTAACTCTTCGGAATATTAAATTAACTACAATGAAACAAAGCAAGATAAAATAGTGTATTGTTTAGCTTCAGGGTTTGAATGGGGCTGCCTTACAACAATTTGGCATGTCTGACTTGGGGAGGGAGGAGAAGTACGAGCAAAAGAAAAGGAATGAACAAAATAATCTGTGTTCTGCTACCTGGTTTTGAAAAAGAAATTTCCTATTCCTATTTGAGAATGTGCTATAAACCACTGCAAGAAGATCTCTCTCTGAATCTGCCAGTGGTTTAAAACAAAGACTTTGAGAAGAGCCTGAGAATATCAACAGAGAGCTTTCCACTTGTTAACTATTACACTGTCAACCAAAGAGGAACACTAATTACACACTACTGTACATTCCATACAGATCTGCCTACTGACCTACCCAATTTGCATTATATGACCTCCTCTATTGATACAGGATGGTTTCCAAAGAGCTGGAAGAAAATTGCACTGTGAATGTAATACCCTGTTTTAGTGCTCTTTGTTGGGAATCTCTCTACATAGCTCAGCAAGACAACAGCACAGACTGAAACTCGGATGTACTGAACATCATTAATGACTCTCAGATATAATATGGTCTTTAAGAGAAGTAGCCTAGCAGCTTGAGATCACCCAGAACAGCTGGGCTGGCCCAGTCCCTCTTGGCCAGGAATCAATGTGTTTTCACTGCAAATCTGAATTACAGAGAGCTCTGAAAATAACTGCAGAGAGCGGGGAATTAAAAAAACAAACCCAGAGCCTTCCTGGCATAGAGAACTTTTCTAAAGAGACCAAGCTCTTCCATTAAAAGTAATGGTACGTGAAATCTGGTAAGAACATGGCCTCAGAAGTGACAAAGTGTCATTCACAGCAGAATTTTGACGTCATTAAGTCACATCGTAACAGCAGAAAGAAATGCTTTGGTATGAAAACTAGACTGTTAAATAAATCTAAGCTAACACCCAAGATTCCAGCATAGCCCCAGATGCCCGTGCCATGCAAGGGATAATACGGTTGCATGCTGTTAGACGGGGTGGGAGTAAAATTTCATCAACAGAAGAAGGATTGTGGACTAGGACTGCATTGTTACAGGAAAGACTGTGACCTCCTCCAGTACAAGGGGCAATGCTGAATACCAGAAATGAGGCACTGGTGCAAAACCAGAAAGAAACAGCTTGACTTTGTTTTTCCATTGCTTATGGGTGTCACTGGTGAGCATTAGGTGGCCTACATACAGCTATTTCTTTAAATGGAAAGGTACATAAAAATGGGCAACTGCTTAGCCCACTGGGGGATCAGATTTGTGCTACAAAGTAGTAAGAAAAGGTCATCTCCTGGAGTGATCAAGGAGGAGCAAGACAGCTCATAGTTACTCTCTACACAAAGAAACATTCTACTTTGGAAGAAAGTTTGCACTTGTTTCTGCCTGTAGCATGAATTTAGATCATAAAATCTGACACAATTAAAAAACTTGTAAGGAAAGTCTGAAAATGAGACAACTGAGCAACCACATAATTATTTTTGAAGTTGCTGTAATGCCTTCTCTTCTTCTCCATCTTCTCTTTGTTATCTTTGGTCATGTTATTTATGAACTCTTAGCATGTGTAGCATGTGGTTAACTTCAGACAATCCTATCACAGTTGACTACAGTATGCGTAAAGTCAAGCATACATCTTCAGCATTAATGCATAAAAAGAGAAAACCTGGAAAGGCAGACTTTATGATGCTGTAAATTTTCCAGAATTATTTGAAAATAAAACCAGCAACAGTTAGCTACCAAGAAATACACCCTATGGAATTACAAAATAGATTGCAATGTTTTTAAGGAACATTCAACACACACAAAATATAAGAGCACAGGGTAAACACAGCAATCAGAAAGAAGCCAAAAAAGAAGAGTGCATTCTTCTTAGTAATAAGTTTAGGAAGACAATAATTTAAATCAGCTGAGTAGTAAAAACTGAAGTAAAGCTTTCAAAACACATTAACACATGTCAAATAAAGATAACATCTGGCGGTTACTAATGGCATTTTCTTTTCTGTATATTCTTCTAGGCCATCTAGAGTAAGGAATAAAATAATTACAAAGTGAGATCTACATAAAGAGGTAAAAAGGATTTGCTGAAGGTTTTTATCTGAGTAGTGCTAATTTTTAGAACCACCATTCTAAATGTTGATGCTTAGCTTAATTCTTTTCCCAACACATCTTAAGAGATTAACTTTTAAGTAAAATGTGATAACAAACCCACTAACAAATTAGCTTCGAATGCTCTCTTGTTATAGTCAGCACATTCAAAGCCCATTTTCCTGGAAGAGGTTCAAGTTTTTACTGGATACTTTCCAAGCAGCTCTGTGTTGCAGTAATCTACCACTTTCCTTCTTACAGACCCTGAAAAGTCACAGCCATTACTCAAACAACCTGAACATACTACTCTAACCTGAAGACATTTCTAATGTTAACAAGCTAATGTCTCAAAAAGACACTTTTTTTCATATTTTCAGACATGTTCACTGCTCATACCTGCAACACTGCTGGGACAGGACCTCAAAAAATTTGAATTAAATGGCTTCACTGTTTGTTTGAAATGAGTTAAGTGATGTGGCTGGTTGCTCAGAGTGAATCATTAGTAAGACAGCATACACACAAAACAGAACCCACGATGAAGAGGAAACAAAGACATAAAAACAATGTCTCTAGCAATGTCAGTGGTTTGAAAACCAGCAAAGGCAATTCTTTGGCACACACAGTTACGGGCGTACTTAAGATGATACGAATTTTTATCTATTGTGGCTGTTCGCACCCTTGATGTGATCAGTACTGTTTGTACCTCCTTTGTACTGTTCTCTCTCTGCTGGCAGGTATTTAAAAAAAAAAAAAAATAAGTTTTTCTGATGTTATGATACAAGACTGCAAAACAACCTACAAAGAGCGTGATACAGCAGTTCCTCCAGTGGAATGGTTCTAGAGCTATATGGATATATATACCATAATGGTATTTGCATATAAAAACAGTGGTCTTGATGTAGAGTAGAACAAACTACTGCCCTTACTCCTCTAAGGGAGAGTGAGCATTTTGAAACTTACTACAGTGCTCAGAATAAAATGAAATATCCTGGTGGGAGTCTTGTTATAGACTACCAAGATGAAGAGGCAGATGAAATATGCTATAAGCAGCTGCCAGAATGCTCATAATCACAGGCCCTTCCTCTTGTAAGTTGAAGTCCCTCATGAGATGTCTGCTGGAAATACAACACAACAGAGAGGAAACAGTCTAGAAGGTTCCTGAAGGAGAATTTCCTGACACAGCAGGGATGAGG